CGACGAAGATGACGGTGGTGTGCGGCGGAGGAGGGATGTTGACGTGGCACTTTGATTGCGGCCAATTTCGAGCAAGATTCAAGGATAGAGAAGCAAGAGTTGTAGCCCCCTTTGGCCACGCGCGAGTGACGTAAGGCCGCGTACCTATGTAAGTAACACCGAGCCTACTTGTCGCGCGCGATGACTCGTTTAATTTATTTGAACGCGGAGGAAGAGTTAAGGAGATGCTGCGGCGGCGGCGGCGGCGTGTGCTCCTTCACCACCTCCGCGTGCGCGCGTGTTGCCAATGATTACGCGCTCGCTATTGGCTCTCCGCGACTTGAACTACTTTGCGGGCTTTCGACCGCACTCGTCTTTACTCGCGGAAACACCTACGCGTCGCTGACCCAAGCCGTCGCGAGCGTCTGCGGTCTCGCCCGTGGAGGATGGACGAGCGCGATGTAAACGAGACGATAATTTAACAGCTGAAAGGGCAGACGGGATGACGGTGTGCCTTCATCAACGCGAGGAAGAGAAGACTTCGGTGAAGTTAACTTCGCGTTACCAACATGTAATTCATCCTCGGTCGAAGTTATTTCATTTGCGAATTAACATTTTTTCAATTCAAAAATAGAATTAGCCTACACACACAAAATGTATACTGCATTCAAGTGAATGTTACTTGTTGCATGCATTTCATAAGCTTATACATCCGCTGATCTATCAACAGTTTATCACAGAAATTCAATTTATCCAAAAAATATCCTAAATCCTAATAAGTTTAGCATTTTAATAAAGAATATTAAATTAACAGAAAAAACTAGTTTGCTTACTACGTAGAGTTAAACCAATTTTTTCCTTGAATAAAATATGGTAATGTTCTTAAAAATAGGATAAATTCTCCTTTTGACTACATGATAATGAGTTTTTCTCAAAATTTATGAGTATATTTTAAAACTACTATCAAGTCTCTCTCTCTCTCTCTCTCTCTCTCTCTCTCTCTATATATATATATATATATTTATTTATTTATTTATTTATGTATTTATATATGTATATATAAATATTTCTCATATATCTTTAATCCTGAAGTTTATATCCTGAAGTTTATATGACTACGTAACAGTTTCAAATGCGAGATGAAGCGTATATTGGTTGGATTTGCGTTCACACACATATGTACACAGACATATATAAATATATATATACACAGACACATACAATCAACGCTGAATTTCAATCAGAGAAATAGAACAATTTATCTAATCAATATAACGTGTATAAACTCATGACGCTACATAATGTCATGCAATATTTAAATGTATACCTACGTATCGACCAAGCACGATTATAACTCCCTTTCGCCGTATGCTTTAAGATCGTACGTCATAATATGAATCAATGTCCAGGTATCCATAAATAATTAAACGGCCGGCCAAGAGCTATCGTAAGATAACTCCTTGCGAAGGCAGCATATTGATTCAACCTTCTTGAAAATAGCTAAACCGACTTGACAGCGGCCAGGCTGTTTCTGGATAGTCATTTTTCTAGGCCTTGCTATGTATCTACACTTTATTGTTACCTTCACACATACATTATAATGTATTCTTATCCCGACAGCTTGGATAATTTACTATACACCGTTGTAGATTGGATGTATTCCGATACAGAGGAGCCATTCTTGGACGCTTTCTTGTAAGATAAAATCTAACTTAATCTAACCAATGCCTAGACACGTACCTAACTCTGGATATTCTTATTATTTTGATCTTTAATTATGAATATTTAAACTTTCAATATAAAAAATATAAACTATCATTTAAAGGATAAAGATTATTGTGGAAATATAAAAATGTTTTTCTGTGATAAGAAGTGATAAGAAATATTAAGAAATGAAAAGAAATGATAAGAAGTGACTTCTGTGACAGAAGTTTGAGCACTCAATATTATTCTTTGCATGGAAAAAAAGTTTGGATTCATTTTTGATGAAATATGAACGATCCAGAAAATCCGGAAGTTACCGCAATTCAAGTCAACAAGATTTCTGATTAACTTGAACAGAATTCTAGCTTTAACCGGAATTTTCTGGCTTGTTTATATCTCAGAAAATTGTTTAATCCAACTTTTTCCCGTGTTTTAATTATAAAATCCCTATTTTATTCTATAATTCGAAATTCGATATCGTAAAAGATAAAAATACGAATACCCTAACGCGTATCCATCCTGGACATTTTTATTGTTTTAGTCTTTAAATACGAATATTTAAATATTCAACGTAAGATACATAT